ATTACGGTACCTTTGTAAAAGTCAAGAGAAAAAAACATAAAATTTTACCCTCGCTCTCATCAGTGGAAAGCTCTTTCAAAGACCTTTCCCATATCGAATATATCGGCTAATCAGTAATCGAGATATATCCAATTATATATTAAAACTTTGGACGCCCATAACTCCCAGACCCTAATAGAGAGGATAATAATTTTACTTTGTTGAAGTCACGATAAAAAGTACAATCATGCGGTATAAACATGAGTTCCACTTTTTGGTTTTAAAATTTTAAAAAGTTTTTAAATTTTTCTGGTGTTTTTTAACCTAATTTCAGCTGTTTATACTTTGCACCCACTGGTAACACTATTTACAAGCGAGAGAAAGAGAGCATAATATTTGAGATGCCATACAGATTTTATTTGAAATTAAAGAAATAGTGATGCCACAATGATTTATATAAGAGAAATTAGACAAAACAAAGGTGGCAAAGAAAACTTAAAGTTACCAGATGTGTTAGAGCAAATGTGGCCATCACAGTGGTCTTATCTAAGACACAAACCTTTATTGCAGTCAAGTAGATGGTACTTTCCTTCCAGGAATATTGTTTTTATAATTGCTGGTATACAGGACAAAGTATGAAATTTTATTCTTTCATAAAATTTATTTGAAATTTTATAATTGTCATATAAGGAATATTCTTATTTCATGTTACTAGTTTTTTATAAAAGTTTGTTAAAAAATAATCTTTTTTTTATAAAAATACATACGAACATTTTAAAGCTTTTAAGATTATTAGCTTTAAGCTTACTATGTCTGTCTAACAAATATCCTGGTTACATATTTTTACTAATTTTTCCCCAGTATCCTTAAACTAACAAATACATTCACATACTTACAAAATATGTGTGTAAAAAAAACTACCCTTAAAATACCCACATTATTACCTAAGTGCTGTGCAAAAGGACCTTAGAAAACATGCTTAATATTGCTAGCAAATTAAATACAATCACAAGGACCGTGTGGCCTAATGGATAAGGCGTCGGACTTCGAATCCGAAGATTGCAGGTTCGAGTCCTGTCACGGTCGAAGTTAAATTTTTTTTCTAAAATTAAAAAAAAAACATTTTTTACTTTCAATAGAATGAATTATCATTAAATTTATTTTTTGCGAAAAACTTCCACTTGTAAAGGATGACATTTGTCATCGGGCACTTCCTGACCCACTGGTATAGAAACATCACCTTGGGGACAGGCACTTAAGGCTACCAATAGATTCATATCCGCTATAAATTCGATATAGTCACCCTTTTGGGCGGGACTGGGTTTGCAGAAGTATTGTTGGGTGTCCTGGAAAAGCAAAATAAGGAATATTTTAAAATAAATGTTGATATAACAACTTAATGAAAAAAGGCTTTAAAATATTAAACATTTTTTATAGAAATCTTTAAAATTAATTGTTTACATGCAAACAGCAATTCTATAAATATTAATAAAAACTATTAGACTATAAAAGCTATTGTTTATTTTAAAATTAATAATTTATTGAAAACCTTATATTGCTTAAAGTACTTTAAAGCACAATTTTTTAAATAAAATGTTTATTTACTTAAGAAACTTGTTAAATAAACAAATAATTAAACTAGAAACACCTACATTTTATAGACAAAATGTAAACAGAGAATTAATAAATTAAAAATCGGCTTAAAAAACAATAGAAATTTAAGAAACTAAAAATAAAGAATTAACGACTCTTAAAAAACGACTTAACTATAAAAAAAACTTTTCCCCTACTCACCCTCGTAAAGCCGGTACACATGAAAATATTCCAAACATCATGAACATCCTCCTCACACATGCCGCGCTCCTCAGTCACAGCTTTAACTAAAGAACTATGACAACTATTCACACGTTCCTTGCCCGTTATTAATTTATAAGTATAATCATCACATCTAGTACCCACAACATCATGTAAAGAACCACCATCTTCATCTATACCATACTTAGCCAATGAATCATAAACAAATGTTGCCATAGGTCTTATATAAGGCATACAACTCCATAAACGATCGTATACTTTCAAATGAGTACTATGCAGTTGTCGTGTCTTGCCCGAATAGAAACGTTCTTTAGTATTTTCTAAATTCCAAAAGTTCACATCACCCACTTGTGATCCCTCGCATACTGTAATGCGACACAAATCATCCTTTTGCATAGTCCAGGTTTTAGCCTGACGTTTGGGTACAATCAAAGTTTCAATCAGATCACCTGTTATACTTTGATAACGCAAATCATCGTATTCGGATTTAGAAACTTGGGCGGCCGCTGGTTTGTTGTAGCACAAGGTGGGTGGGTGTTTGGGAAAGGTACGTGGTTTAAAACCTCTACCGCACCAGGATTGTGTAGTCATTTTTTTCAGTTATTTACTTATTAAACAAACTTTTTTTGCTAATTCTTAACTTGTTTTCCAAATACTTTGCTTTATCTTTTTCATAAGTTTCCAATTCTAATCACAGACGTTAACTGAATTATTAATCTATTTGCAAATTGTTTAAATTATAAAAAACATGTACCTAATGTTGTTTTTTTATATAAATAATCTCTATGTCCACTAACAATTCACATGTTTTAGCATTTGTTGCTGTTTTTTGTACACAATAGTTTTTTGTTTATCAGAGAGTATTTGTAAAGAAACCTAACTCAATTGTATACAATTACAATTGGGGCTACAGCCACAAATGACAAAAACGGTCAAGCAGAACTAAAATTGTTTTGTTTCGCAGGTTTTGTCGTTTGCGGCTTAAATTGTAAACCAATTTTATTATTGTTATTGAATTCATCTTAACAAAAGAGCTGCCATAAGTTATTTTTTTATGATAAACAGTAGGGTTCTATAAATCGACTTTCGAATAATCGAACAATCGACTTTTTGTCGAAAAAAGTCGAAAAGTCGAAGTCGACTATTTTGTTCCAAAAAAGTCGATAACTCGACTATCGTCTATGAAAAAAGTCGAAAAGTCGACTTTGTAAATAAAAGTCGAAAAAAGTCGAAAAGTCGGAAAGTCGAAAAAAGTCGAAAAGTCGAAAAAAGTCGATAAGTCGAAAAAAGTCGATAAGTCGAAAAAAGTCGAAGAAAGTCGAAAAAAAGTCGAAAAAAGTCGAAAAGTCGAAAATAGTCGAAAATTTTAAAAAAGTGGAAAAGAGGTCAAAAACTCTAAAATAGTCGGAAAAACTCGAAAAAAGTATAAAATAGTCGAAATAAGTCGAATAAAAGTCGAAATAAGTCGAAAATAGTCAAAAAGTCGTAAAAAATCGAAAAGTCGAAAAGTCGGAAAAAGTCGAAAAGTTGAAAAAAGTCGGAAAAAGTCGAAAAAAGTCGAAAAAAGTCGAAAAGTCGAAAAAAGTCGAAAAGTCGAAAAAAGTCGGAAAAAGTCGAAAAGTCGAAAAAAGTCGAAAAGTCGGAAAAAGTATACCCGTTAATAAAACAACCTTTTGATAAAACAGCAAACCCTAACAGCTGTTTTTGATTGTTGTGTGGTGAGTTTCTGTAAAAACGTAAACAAATGAAACAAAAACAAATTACTAGACATATTTATTTTGTGCTAAGAAAAATTTATGTATTTTAATAATGTTTTATAGCCAGTGCAAGTGTTCTTGGTGTACACCATCTACCCCAATAATAATCCCGGTTTCTTTAGAATCAAATATTTTTAAAACGGCCTTATATAATGTGCAATTCTATATTCCATGACTGGTTGATAGAGTCACGAAATCCATCGGAGATCAACATAAAAAATGAAAAAGGGGTGGCTTTAACTTCTTGTTCCGTTCATATGGGGCAAGATTCGAGCCTCACCGTGTCATTTGCCAGTTACCTCTTTTGTGTATATTGCAGGGTCCTGGTACCCAACACAGCCTTATTGTAAACGGTCTCATAATAACACTTGATCTTTTCTACATTCTACGGCTATGCAAGATTACAGCTATGACATATTAATGCTTTGAGTGCAGCATGACTATCTTACCAGAGACCGGTGAACAATGTGATTCCCTATTTGTTCCGTCACTTTCAAGATCGCTAAATCACCACTTGGAAGACACAACCCATCAGGGAGTAAAGGAACATTTTACACCGTTTGTAACACATCGAAATATTGGTCTAATATCCATAAAAGTATATCCTGGGATCTTATTACAGTCTAAGACCATCTAGCCAATATTTGCCAAAATAATTTTAGTTGATGGAGTTTGTTATTGAAAATGGACAATATCGGTATACGATAAACTCATCAGGGAGCCAAGGAACTTTTACACCGAAATATTGGTCTAAAATCCATAAAAGTATAGACCGGGATCTTAGCCAATATTTGCCGAAATATTTTTAGTTGATGGAGTTTATTATTGTGCTTCAATATTCCAGTATAGCGAAGAAAAACAACAAAAACAAGTTTTATAGGAACTAAAATCTTTTTGAAATCCGGAAAAAATGAATGCCATCCGATTTCTACACTTCCAACTTAAAGTTCTATATAGGTTTTTATAATGCACAAGATCGTCCGATAGCAGTTATATATCATTTTATATATACGGCCATAGTAACATTATCTGTAAAAAAAATTTTGTTGTTGTGGTACACACCCTAGAACGATGAAATCCGGAAAAAAATGTATGCCATCCGATTTCTACACTTCCAGCTTAAAGTTCTATATAGGTTTTTATCGTGCACAAGATCGTCCGATAGCAGTTATATATAATTTTATATATACTTCCATAAAAACATTTTTTGTAAAAAAAAAGTTTGTTGTTGTAGTACACACCCTAGAACGATGAAATCAGGAAAAAAATGTATGCCATCCGATTTCTACACTTCCAACTTAAAGTTCTATATAGGTTTTTATCGTGCACAAGATCGTCCGATAGCAGTTATATATCAATTTATATATACTTCCATAATAGCATTTTTGGTAAAAAAAAAGTTTGTTGTTATAGTACACACCCTAGAACGATGAAATATACAAAAAATGTATGCCATCCGATTTCTACACTTCCAACTTCAAGTTCTATATAGGTTTTTATCGAGCACAAGATCGTCCGATAGCAGTTATATATCATTTTATATATACGGCCATAGTAACATTTTTTGTAAAAAAAAAGTTTGTTGTTGTAGTACACACCCTAGAACGATGAAATCCGGAAAAAAATGTATGCCATCCGATTTCTACACTTCCAACTTAAAGTTCTATATAGGTTTTTATCGTGCACAAGATCGTCCGATAGCAGTTATATATCATTTTATATATACGGCTATAGTAACATTTTTTGTAAAAAAAAAGTTTGTTGTTGTAGTACACACCCTAGAACGATGAAATCCGGAAAAAAATGTATGCCATACGATTTCTACACTTCCAACTTAAAGTTCTATATAGGTTTTTATAGTGCACAAGATCGTCCGATAGCAGTTATATATCATTTTATATATACGGCCATAGTAACATTTTTTGTAAAAAAAAAGTTTGTTGTTGTAGTACACACCCTAGAACGATGAAATCCGGAAAAAAATGTATGCCATCCGATTTCTACACTTCCAACTTAAAGTTCTATATAGGTTTTTATCGTGCACAAGATCGTCCGATAGCACTTATATATCATTTTATATATACGGCCATAATAACATTTTTTGTAAAAAAAAAAGTTTGTTGTTGTAGTACACACCCTAGAACGATGAAATCCGGAAAAAAATGTATGCCATCCGATTTCTACACTTCCAACTTAAAGTTCTATATAGGTTTTTATCGTGCACAAGATCGTCCGATAGCTCTTATATATCATTTTATATATACGGCTATAGTAACATTTTTTGTAAAAAAAAAAGTTTGTTGTTGTAGTACACACCCTAGAACGATGAAATCCGGAAAAAAATGTTTGCCATCCGATTTCTACACTTCCAACTTAAAGTTCTATATAGGTTTTTATCGTGCACAAGATCGTCCGATAGCACTTATATATCATTTTATATATACGGCCATAATAACATTTTTTGTACAAAAAAAGTTTGTTGTTGTAGTACACACCCTAGAACGATGAAATCCGGAAAAAAATGTATGCCATCCGATTTCTACACTTCCAACTTAAAGTTCTATATAGGTCTTTATCGTGCACAAGATCGTCCGATAGCACTTATATATCATTTTATATATACGGCCATAATAACATTTTTTGTAAAAAAAAAGTTTGTTGTTGTAGTACACACCCTAGAACGATGAAATCCGGAAAAAAATGTATGCCATCCGATTCCTACACTTCCAACTTAAAGTTCTATATAGGTTTTTATCGTGCACAAGATCGTCCGATAGCAGTTATATATCATTTTATATATACGGCTATAGTAACATTTTTTGTAAAAAAAAGTTTGTTGTTGTAGTACACGCCCTAGAACGATGAAATCCGGAAAAAATGTATGCCATACGATTTCTACACTTCCAACTTAAAGTTCTATATAGGTTTTTATCGTGCACAAGATCGTCCGATAGCACTTATATATCATTTTATATATACGGCTATAGTAACATTTTTTGTAAAAAAAAAATTTGTTGTTGTAGTACACACCCTAGAACGATGAAATCCGGAAAAAAATGTATGCCATCCGATTTCTACACTTCCAACTTAAAGTTCTATATAGGTTTTTATCGTGCACAAGATCGTCCGATAGCACTTATATATCATTTTATATATACGACCATAATAACATTTTTTGTAAAAAAAAAGTTTGTTGTTGTAGTACACACCCTAGAACGATGAAATCCGGAAAAAAATGTATGCCATCCGATTTCTACACTTCCAACTTAAAGTTCTATATAGGTTTTTATCGTGCACAAGATCGTCCGATAGCAGTTATATATCATTTTATATATACGGCTATAGTAACATTTTTTGTAAAAAAAAAAGTTTGTTGTTGTAGTACACACCCTAGAACGATGAAATCCGGAAAAAATGTATGCCATACGATTTCTACACTTCCAACTTAAAGTTCTATATAGGTTTTTATCGTGCACAAGATCGTCCGATAGCACTTATATATCATTTTATATATACGGCTATAGTAACATTTTTTGTAAAAAAAAAGTTTGTTGTTGTAGTACACACCCTAGAACGATGAAATCCGGAAAAAAATGTATGCCATCCGATTTCTACTCTTCCAACTTAAAGTTCTATATAGGTTTTTATCGTGCACAAGATCGTCCGATAGCACTTATATATCATTTTATATATACGGCCATAATAACATTTTTTGTACAAAAAAAGTTTGTTGTTGTAGTACACACCCTAGAACGATGAAATCCGGAAAAAAATGTATGCCATACGATTTCTACACTTCCAACTTAAAGTTCTATATAGGTTTTTATCGTGCACAAGATCGTCCGATAGCAGTTATGTATCATTTTATATATACGGCTATAGTAACATTTTTTGTAAAAAAAAAGTTTGTTGTTGTAGTACACACCCTAGAACGATGAAATCCGGAAAA